GAAATGAGAATTGCAAATTCTCTGAAGTGATGATAAATTATCGGATGAAGAATTTCAAAAACGAAATGAATGGTTGCAGGAGAATGCAAGAAAACGCCAGTGGATGTTCTGTTCTTGGTCGACATTACCACGGATAACAATAAGGTATTCGAGGCACAACAGAAGAAAATTGTCGAAACGATTCGGTTTGTAAACTCTTTCTCATTTTGAACAGTGAATCGTGAATATTTATTGCCAGCTGGCAAAGATGAACAGATATTCGAAATTTCGAAAAAGAATCTGGAACAAATCTGAATGTTTCACGCGGATATTTAGGAAATTGGAATATGGTAGGGCAAAAACTCATCGCAGATAGCATTTTTCCGGACTGCAAAATGAAACTCGTGCTCATTTCAGGCATTTGAGTGGAAGTGGATTTGTAAGCGATGCACGATTCGGAATTATTGTTTTCAATCAGCGACCGCTTCTGCTCGTGCCATTGACGTCTCCACGAGCCAAAGTTCTTGAACGAGTAATTTTTATTATCTATTTGAAGATATCGATAACATCTTATCTTATCGATGGTTTTTTGCCTTTGAGATGAACTAAATCTTTCTCCAACAATACCCATCCAAAATTCTTAGGCTAGTATGGCTTTGCGCTTATATTAGCCCGAAGCCATACTAGCCTTAAGCTCCTGCTTCGTTCGATACCAGGAGCTTGGGGTTAATGTGGCTTAAGCGCTAGCTCCAATATTGTAAGTATAGAACTCTGGTTAGTGGTCAGTGGAAACGATGCGTTTTCATTTGTTGATCTTCAATTTGATGTCTTTTCGTGAAAATTTGATTGCTGCGATAATTTTTGAANAGTGAAGAAATGACCATTGAACCAAATCATGAAAACTGACTTTTTCGGTGACCTGAAATGCAACAATTCGGTCACTTAAACATACGTTTTGTGTGATTTTCTTCGAACCATTCACACGTCTGTCCTTGTTATGACGAATTCACACTTTCTATTGTTTATTCTTTACGCATCGTCGATCTCTCATCAACAATTGTCGTTTTCGAGAGGAAGAAAAGAATGCAAAAGAAAACAGATCACAACGTTTAAACACCATTGTTGGGTTTAAATTAGTGTTTTCGGTGTCGTCAATTGTTGGTCAAACACAATGAACGCATGTTTTCTTAGTGTGCGCAGCGATTTGTGAGACGGTAATCAAATGTGAATGATGATGAGAAATTGAGAAAAGATATTTCATAGTTGCAATTCCATACTAAATGAATGTTGGGCTGATAATAGACACAGAAAATACACTGACCGTACACTTGGATTATAACAGATAATGGATACAAACTATGTTTTTTGTCTACCATTTGAATTATATGGTGGATTTTTTTGAATGATAAGTGCTGGATTATAACAGTTGCATTATTAATGTGTTTGATCTATTCCACTTAACATGTTCATTCACCTCATGGAATATGATTTACTTAGTAGGTTGGTGAGAAGAAGTAGGAAAATGTTCAAAATTCAAAGAAACTCTGCTCAAATGGCCTGCCCCTATTCTCTGCAAAAATTGTTGTCTGGAAGTTTTGAAGAAGTGCAAATGATGTGTTCAGATGATCACTGAAGTTGCGAAAATCAAAGCACGACGCAATCTTGAGACGTCACCAGCAAGAGCGTTCGATCTTGCTGCCACTCATCTGAACGCGCACAAGCGAGACGATGCAAAACGTTTGGTTATGCTCGTACATAACGGACACTCAACTGATCTGATCGCTGAAACCATGGAATCAAGGTAATTTCCACTAATTAGTGGTGAAAGATGCTGAAATTGCTCAACAAAGTAGACTTTCTAATTGTCAACAAAATCGGCTATGAGGCTCTATACCAGTTGATTTTTCAAATCAAGATTGAGGCAATGCCTCAATTTGGTTTTTCAAACGCAAATTAAAGAGCTGGGATTTCAACTTGATCAATGGAGTATAAGTATCACATTGACGGATGCTCTGTTCTTTGCGAAAGAAATGGCACAGTAATAAGATGAAACAATGATCATGCAACGGTTTGATAGTAACGCAGCGCGATTCGTTCAGTTCTTCGAACATTTTGCTCTCGTCTGTCATTCAATGAAAATAAGCATTTTGTTGCTTCGCATGAGGTAATTAATACTAATGAGAGTAATTCTACAGCTCCGTGTTCATTGTAACATACGCATGCAAACGCATTCATTTAACGGCATTTACGAAACTCATCAATGACCGCCCGGCCGCTCCTTTAAACAGAATGAGCGTAACAAAATGAATGAGTCTAGAATAATATCAGCGTAACAAATTGCAACTGCATTACAAAAACGTTGATTTTATGTACTTTACAAACCGACTGCATACCACCAACACACTGTTTACTTCACCAAGCAATTCATGATCGAAAGTTTCAATCATGCCTTTGAGCAGCAATCAATCATATCCGATCACGGTGTTTTTAGTCACTGAATGTCCTTTGATGAGCCGAATTTGTACTAACTTCAACATTTTTGAAAACGCTGAAGATATAAGTGATGAGAGA